GTGGACGTGTGGACGTGTGGACGTGTGGACGTGTGGACGTGTGGACGTGTGGACGTGTGGACGTGGGGACGTGGGGACGGGATAGGTCAGTCCAGGGAGGACGGACAGGTCAAGGGGGCGGGATGAGGTTAGTAGGTAGGAAATGGGGGTGCTGCTTGAGGTGGGAGGAAGAACAGGTTAGGGAGGCGGGGACGAGCTGGACTGGTTTTGGGATGCAGTAGGGGGAGGGGAGATTTTGAAGCTTGTGAAATCCACATTGATACCATTGGGCTGCAGGGTTCCCAAGCGGAATATGAGTTGCTGTTCCTGCAACCTTAGGGTGGCATCGTTGTGGCACTGCAGGAGGCCCAGGATGGACATGTCGTCTGAGGAATGGGAGGGGGAGTTGAAATAGTTCGCGACTGGGAGGTGCAGTTGTTTATTGCGAACCGAGCGTAGGTGTTCTGCAAAGCGGTCCCCAAGCCTCCGCTTGGTTTCCCCGATGTAGGGGAGGCCACAACAGGTACGGCGGATGCAGTATACCACATTGGCAGCTGTGCAGGTGAACATCTGCTTAATGTGGAAAGGCCCTCCGCTTCTTCCTGTCCCGCAGGCCCGACCAGTCCCCCTCCACTGACACCCTCATCCGCTTAGCCGAACTTGTCGTCAACAACTTCTCTTTCAATTCCTCCCATTTCCTACAGACAAAAGGGTGGCCATGGGTAACTGCATAGGCCCAAGCTACGCCTGCCTCTTTGTAGGTTACGTGGAACAATCCCTCTTCCGTACCTACACTGGCCCTAAACCCCACCTCTTCCTCCGTTACATTGATGACTGTATCGGTGCCGCCTCGTGCTCCCACGAGGAGCTCGAACAGTTCATCCACTTCACCAACACCTTCCACCCCAACCTTAAGTTTACCTGGACCATCTCTAATACCTCTCTCTCCTTCCTGGACCTCTCTGTCTCCATCTCGGGCAACCACCTAGAAACCGATATTCATTTCAAGCCCACCAACTCCCACAGCTACCTAGAATACTCCTCCTCCCACCCACCTTCCTGCAAAAATGCCATCCCCTATTCCCAATTCCTTCGCCTCCGCCGCATCTGCTCCCAGGATGAGGCATTCCGCTCCCAGGATGAGGCATTCCACTCCCGTACATCTCAGTTGTCCTCGTTTTTCAAGGACCGTAACTTCCCCCCCCTCAGTGGTCGAGAACGCCCTCAACCGTGTCTCCCACATTTCCCACAACTCATCCCTCACACCCCGTCCACGCAATAAGAACCAAAAAAGAATCCCCCTCGTCCTCACGTACCACCCCACCAACCTCCGGATCCAACGCATCATCCTCCGACACTTCCACCATCTGCAATCCGACCCCACCACCAAAGACATCTTTCCCTCCCCACCCTTATCTGCTTTCCGGAGGGCCACTCTCTCCGTGACTCCCTTGTCCGCTCCACACTCCCATCCAGCCCCACCACAACCAGCCCTTTTCCCTGCAACCGCAGGAAGTGCTACACCTGCCCCAAAACCTCCTCCCTCACCCCCATCCCAGGCCCCAAGAAGACTTTCCACATCAAGCAGATGTTCACCTGCACATCTGCCAATGTGGTATACTGCATCCGCTGTACCTGTTGTGGCCTCCTCTACATCGGGGAAACCAAGCGGAGGCTTGGGGACCACTTTGCAGAACACCTACCCTTGGTTCGCAATAAACAACTGCACCTCCCAGTCGCGAACCATTTCAACTCCCACTCCCATTCCTCAGACGACATGTCCATCCTGGGCCTCCTGCAGTGCCACAACGATGCCACCCTAAGGTTGCAGGAACAGCAACTCATATTCCGCTTGGGAACCCTGCAGCCCAATAGTATCAATGTGGATTTCACAAGCTTCAAAATCTCCCCTCCCCCTACTGCATCCCAAAACCAGTCCAGCTCGTCCCCGCCTCCCTAACCTGTTGTTCCTCCCACCTATCCCCTCCTCCATCCTATGATGCTGCTTGGCCTGCTGTGTTCATCCAGCTCTGCACCTTGTTGTCTGGGTGAATACAGGAGACAGGTGAAGAGATCAGTGGAGCAGGGGGTTTGCAATGGAGTGGGCAATGTTGATGATGGTGGTTCTAGATTCCTGCCCAAAGAAGTGAGAATGGAGATGGAGATGGAGATGGAGACAGTGGGAAAACAGTTCAACATCAGGATTTGCTCCTAAATTGAAAATTATTGCCTACTATTTCCTACCTTGCTCATTTAATAACCCGAGATGTGTTTCATCCAGCCCTGGAGATTTAGTTTCTTTTAAACCTGCCTGACAACTCAGAACCCCCTCTCTGTCTATGCTAATTTCTTTAATTTTATCACAGATTAAATGAGTTTTTGTCAGTTCTGTGGAGGGCAGTCAACCCAATCCTAGTTCCCTGTGCTCTACCTGTAACTCTGCTAATTTATTTTCCTCAAGTGTGCATCCAATTTTCTTTTGAAATTATTCATATCTCTGATTCTAGCATCTTCATGGGCAGTGAGTTCTAGGTCATTACCTGTCATCATGGAAAAATATTCTTCCTGAAATCTCCCTTCTTATCTCTTTCCCAAAACATAAAACAAAGAGAACAAAATCATGGAACCAAAACAGAAAATGTGAAATCAAACTCGTAATCTGCTAGTAACTACTCAAAATGAAGATAAGGCATTGACTATGTCATAATTTTCGACTTCATTTTTGTTTGGCAAGAAATCACATCAACGGCTTTAATATTGCAACAAATCCCTGCTGTCGACTTCAATACAGAAAACTCTCAAATTACTTCATTATTTGTAAGCTGTTTGGGGATATCCTAAAATATCCCTAAAGCAGCAATACATGAACAAAAATATTGTAAAAAGAAATAGGGTATAACAAAGCGGATCTTTAATTTATTCATTCATGGGAATTGGGCGTCACTGGCTGGGTTAGCATTTATTGTCTACCCATAATTGCCCTGGAGAAGGTGGTGGTGAGCTGCGTTAAGGAAGCATAAAGTTGTCAAGGTGATAGTGGTCATCTCATACAGTCAGAAAAGTAGAGTCAGCAATTTCTGCAGGTTTAGTAAGAACTTTGTGACTGAACCATCTTTCTGGTATTTAGAGAATGAAGCTGTTCATGACAAGGTCTGTTTGCTCACCTGTGAAGTTGCTTGCAGCTGAGAGAGCCTCACAGTACTGATCAAGTATGGTAGCTGAATGCAGCATCATGCAATGAAGGATCACCTGTTCAGAGAGAAGAACACTGAACTAAAAACTGAAGAAACAACAACTGGAATCAAATGCTGTGACATAGAGTTAACTAAACCTTTCCACTAATAACAGCTACTGGACATGTGTGTAAGTAATGTTAGATTACATGGAACTGGGATATGTCTGTAGGTTTCCAGCGATGTCCTCATTTACCAGATTTTATATATTGTTATGTTTAATCAATTCCATTCGTTTTCTTTCACCCGAAAGCATATCTGATATTTCTACATGGTGGCAGCAGTGACTAGACCCAATAGAACCAGAGGCAAATGGTAAGTACTCCCGAATTGAAAACCAGCAGCATCGTTGCACAGCAGGCACAGGTCACCCATCTACTTGACTGCACCTGTAGTGTGACCACGGCCCCTTAACTAGTGTCTATCACACTCTCTGTCCGCTGTCTGCTCCCCAGTGTGTCCGACGACAACACCAAATGAACAACACAGCCTGTGAGGAGCTGCAGTCAGTCACACTTCCTGCATACATAGTCGTCAGGGACACTAGATTGCTCCCTGACCTCCCACTGGCACCACTGTCCTAACTGCCATCTCTGCCCCTTTACACTGAGAAAGATAAAAGAATCTTACCTTACCTTTATCTTGCTCACCTTACTCACTGAAGCCCAGTATTTACCTAAGCCCGTACTTATACCAACCAGTTGTACTGGCTACCTAAATTACAGTGCAATCTTTACAAATAGACCAAGTACCTTCTTAGACTGTGAACCTT